CTGTATCCATACCCATATATATCAAATTACATTCGTATACATATACATATACGTATTCAGATATGCTTTTATCCGTAACATATATAGTCTTATTATTGTTCGCATATATATACCATTTGTTTTATGCATACAAATATATTTATCTTGAAGCATATACATGTATATATATAGATATATATATATATATATATCAATTTGTATTTATATACGTGTGTATATGTATGTATGTATGTATATATGTTTATATGTACATCCATTTATTTTTATATTTATATATTCATTATATATGTGTGTATATATACAAATATATATATCCCTCTTCAGTGCATTTAGAATGGTGCAACTCTTCTCATGATGCGTAGTTACTACTTCTCTCATGATGCGTATATCAATACATCCAGTCTTGCCGCATACTAAGATACCCTCAAAGTGTGGTGCCTACTCACAGGCACCTTCGCATGCACTTGTGAAAAGACTAGAAAATTAGGTAATAATATAATATGATATTTTGTATTCTTTTAATTTTTAGTGTTGCAATATGTACTTTGATTCCCCTCAACCCTAACCATCGTCCACCCATACAACCATCATCAAACCCTATTTATATATGAAACATATACGTCTACGTATACATATAAATACCCTATTGGGGATAGCCTTCAGGCGCAATAGGCTTCTTTTCGGGGGTCTCTTGGTCAGCTGGCGGGGGTGGTTGTTGTTGGTAATGTTCCTGTGGTGCATATCCCTGAGTCGCCCCGTACTGAGGTGGTGCCTGTGCATACTGTCCCTGATATGGGGGAGCTTGTCCATACTGTTCCGGAGGCGGGGGAGCCTGTCCATAAATTCCGGGTGCAGGTGCATAGCCCCCAAACTGTCCCGGTGGAGGTGCGTAACCATAAGGATTATTCCCATCCATGGGAGGCGCCTCGGGTATTTGATCGATACTTCCGAAAGGATTGTTAGGGTCCAGTTGAGGTACCCCGACCACGGGTGCCATGATATCGAAGGCCTCTGCTTGGTCAGGCCTGGGACTGGGAGGTGCGGCTGGATACTGCCCGTACTGTTGTGGGGTCAAATTCTGCTGCGGCTGTGCTTGCCTGGCGTTGGGTGCCAGCCAGTTCTGTTGGCCGCTTGCCGCCTGCTTCATCAGGGCGTTGCGGTGGTTGACCAGCTGAGATTTAACGGACTTGTACTTTTGCTTCTTCGCCGAGTATTTTACATTGAGCTCATTAGCGCGCGAGTGTACCCAGCTTAGGCCCTCGGTAAGGTACTTGTGTTGCCGCACGATTCTCTCCATAGAGGCTTTGATTTTCTTGCCCGCGATAGCATCTGTAAACACGTTGTCGAAAAGTACATCTACAATACCAGACAAGGATTCAATGACATCTGGGTTGATGGACTGGATCTGGGGGCAGAAGTCTCGTGCCCGGTCTACCATAGCGGAGGCGGCTTTGAGGGCAGCTTGAGCGCCTTTGATATCTGTGTACGATATGGGTACATTTTTCTTAAAATGATTACTTGATCGCTCGCATGATAACTCGACAAGTATTTCATAAAATAGTTGATTGACCGGATATGACCTGCTCTAAGTTGGTTATGAGTTTATCTGAGTTTGAAACCCACTCGATTATACATAGAGATATGAGAGGTTCGGCTACGTCCAAATAATTGACATGAGAATCAGTTAATAGTGTTGCATCAAGTTTTTAACCCAGGACAGTGCATTTCAACGATAAATAGCAGGTGCAAACATCTGACCGGTATACATATAACCACAATCGTATATAATTGGCAATCAGACTGAGCACATCAGTCACCATGAGCGCCACACCATAATACTATATTCGTTCATATATATATATATATATATATGTGTGTGTGTGTGTA